AGCCTCATAGGCTCTAGTAATAGCTGACCTGATCCATCTACCAATGGTAGCTGAGGATATTCTAGCCCCAAGGGTGGACGGCTGGAAGGAGACAAACAACGCCTCCGACCTCCGAAGTGGAGAGGTACGTTTAAGGTAGATGCGTAATGCCCTCTTCACATCTAGTCGATGCCAGGAGCGTTCCCTCTCCCTGGATGTGGAGGGGACTCTGGAGGTCCCCTCGCCAGACTCAGGATCCACAGGGGAATCCGGTGCTGCCTCCCCTGGTCGCCTTGTGGCATCCGCCATTAAGAACAGCTTCCCCAAAAGCCTCAGGTACTCACAGCTCCTCAGATGCCTCACCAGGCTGTTTGCAGCCTCCTCTGCTCCTGACAGAAGATAAAGAATGCTGCCAGCGATCCTGAGGGACCCCTTGCCTCTGTGCACGTAGCCCCAATGCCACCGATCCATGGCTCGATTGTGGAATGCTGGAAGGGGCAGCTGGAGGTGATTCCACGATTCACAGGGAGAGTGCCTCTGCATGTGGCCTCTTCAGAGCTCTAATGGCTCCTCTGGCCACGTGCGTCTTCCCAGAAGCCGACAGAGATCCAAGATGGCAGCCGCCGACCATGGGGCCTGATTCCTCCAGGAGTTCTGCCTCAATAGTGCCACCCAGTGGCCTGGAGAAGCTCCAGCAGCCCCCAATGGGGTGAAAATGCAGTGCCTCTTCTGATCTTCTGGAGGCCGGCTTCAGAGGCTCCCCAGAGACTGCAAGCAGTCTTGGTGCCTGAGGCACTCCTGCAAAGCCCAGCTATTGCCCAGCGCAGCCACAATCACTCAGGGAAGACAAGGGAGGAGGTGGGGAAGGCAAGGATGGAAAATTCTCACACCAAATTCAATAAAGTCAGGAGCCAAGAAAAAAGTCTCCTATTAGGTCGAAAGACTGAGATTAACTGGGAGCCAGGAAGTGAGGCAGAGGGGAGTGGCCTCAATTTAACCTCAGGCTCAAGGCAAATGGGGTCTGGGAATATCCCATCAATGACTCCTCCCCCGGGCTCACCTAGGAGACACATGTACACACCTGCTTCCTTTCAACATCTGTATGCCAGGGTTTCAAAGCAAAAAGAACTCTGAGGCAGGTAGGTTCCTGAAAGAATAGTTTTGTTGGTCATATCATATTGGCACAGGCTGGTGAAAATTGACTTGAATTTTCCCACAGGTTTCACCAAATTAAAAGTAAGAGTTCCCCCTCTTTCCCAAACAATCAGTCACATGCTCCAATCAAGGTGACATCCGGTTTCCTGGTAACTTCACTCCCCCTCTCTCCGGCCACTTGCAGAAATGTCCTTGGTTCCCAAGAGAAAATATTTTGTTTTGGCTACAAAACCAGGGGTGGGCTGCTGGGGGTTCGCAGGGGGTGGGGACAACCTCTAGCTAAGATTTTGTGCAGTTCAGAGAACCCCCAATTCCCACTCCTGGCTGGCCCTGCCCCACCCATCCTGCCCCTCCCAGGAGTCCCCACGTGGCCTGTTTTGGATGCAAGTAAGTGCAGGGTGCATGTGGAGGCTCAGAGAGGGCGAAAAACAGGCCCACTGGAAGCTCAGGAAGGCCAGAAACAGGCCTGTTTCTGGCCTCCAGAGAGCCTCCAGAGCCTGGGGAGGCAGTTTTCACCCCCTAAAGCCCGGGGGGGGGGAAATCTATCACTCCCTCTGCCGTGTTGCAGAAGGCTGGCTAAGCCATGCCTACTATGGCCATGCCTACTCAGCAGCCGGGCAGAGAACCCCTTGCTAAAAAATTTGAAGCCCACCTCTGTGCAAAACCCCAGATATCTCTAATCCCCCCCCTCCCTATCCCCTCAGCTCCAGTGTGGCAACACTGAAGCCTCAAAATGGCTTCAGCTAAGTCAGCTTCAGGGTTGACACCAGATTTCAACAAAGGCCGGTTGTGGGGTGTGGCCCAGTTGTCTTACTGCAGGCTGTGACCCAAATGCCTGGAAGTGCCCTCATCTTCCTGATCCCGTTGCAAAGGAGAGAAACTCAAGAGTGTGTAATTCTTCCTCCACTTGCTCTGGTTATACTCAGTCTATTAACTGCTCTGACTTTAGAATAAGAACAAGAACATCTCTGATGCTTCTGATTAATGGGAGGTCGTGTCTCATCTAGAAGTCTCATCTAGAAGATGGAGATGTGGCCTTCCTTTTGCACACCTGCCTTAAAAGTTGCTTTTTTCTTTCTCTTTCTCTCTTTTTTTCTCATTGCAGCTAAGAGCTCATAAAGCCTCCCTTGCCGGTTTCCTATTTCACATTGTGTATTGGCTATTACGTTGCACTAACATTGCTTTGATTTTTCTTCCCTCTTCCCCATCTTTCTTTCTCACTTCCCCCTGTCTGTATTATGGCCCTTTTGATGAGTCTTTCCTTGCTGGGCGATTGTGCTTCATTCCTAAGCTGCCACCAGCTCTTGGGCGAGAGAAATGAGCTTGTGTTGGAGGCAGATTCATTCAGCAAAGCTTCCCAAAGGACTTCGCGGAGAGGGAGAGGAAAGGAGGCCCTAAGATATCGAGAAGGTATGAACAGGCCTGGCAGGCAGGTGACCTCATGTGGAATTGATTTTCCACCCTACCAGCAATTTGAAAAGGATTTAGAGAAATGCACCAGGAAATTACGCCTGTTAGTCTGAAAATCAGAGACCAAACAGGGAGAAAACGCTCGCTAGGCTGGGCATGTAATCCAGGTTTAGAAGCTCGTTACGAGAAATTCCCACCAATTCTTGACCGTTGGCCAAGCTGATTGGAGCAGATGGGAGAGAGAGATTCTTAATGCCTGGAGGGCTACAAATTCTCCATCCTGGGAGTAATCCCTTTCATTAAGACCAATTAAAGTGAGCAAGCTTTTTGAATTGCTTCAAATATTTCTTCAGGCTAATTGTTTAGGAAAGGAATAGGCGGGTGGGGAGAGAGAATAAAGAAAGATATTTATTGGCATGCTAGCCAAGGGAGCATCTGAGTCGGTAGTTTATTTATTTTAAGACAGATACAAAAGATGCTTCTGCATGCAAACTAATGTAGCTGAAGCCAGGCAGGAAATAGATTATGCCAAATCCCCATGGAGTGATGGGGGAAGAGAAGAGGTGTAGCTGTTCCTCCTTGGAGAACCAGATGTTGTATTCAGCTGATTCTGACAGGTTTGGGTGAACCAGTAGCAGAAATATTACCTAGTTCACCGAACCGGTAAATACAACCTCTGGCTGGCCCCGCCCCTGCCTGCCCTGTCGCTTGGTTGCCCAGAAAACATATAAAAGCCAACAGCCCTGCTTGAGTATGGATGTCTATAAGTACCCTTGTTCTTCCCAGTTAGATTAGGAAATTGAAAAAAAATATTCCAGAAGATACTAATAGAAAAACATTTCAGTTTGATTGCCAAGATGACTATTTTGGCACCAAGGTTCAAAGAATCAGGACCAGGGGTGGGTTTCTTGCCCCGTTCCAACCGGTTCAGTTGGAACGGGGCCAGCGGCGTCCTCGTGCACGCGCGCGGTGCACGCATGCGTACTAGCGTCTGCGCGATGCTCCAGCTGCTCCTGGACCGTTCCCGGAAGTTTCTTACTTCCGGGTTTGCCGACCAACCAGTTCGCAGGGACCGCCGCGAACCGGTTGAAACCCACCCCTGCTTATAGGTGAGACAGAAGGCATATAAATTAAATAAAACAAACAAACCAATAAACCAACCAACCAATAAATAAATAAATATCCGTCGGCCTTTTGTTTCTCCATCTCTCTGCGACTTGCCTCTGGCGAATATCCAACTGCACTAAGAATGCTAGCTGAACAAAAAGCCCAAGAGAAAACAATGGCTTTCCAATATTACTAAACTACTATTCCCAGCATTCCTTGCTACATAGATGCACCATAGATGGGACTCCTGGGAGTTGTA